TGCTGCCTCTTGCACGCCCCCTACTGGGGATCAAGCCTGCAACCTGGACAGGTGCCCTTGACTGGAATTGAACCTGGGACCCTTCAGTCCGAAGGTCAACGCTCCATCCACTGAGCCAAACCAGCCAGGGCAATAAATAAAATTTTTGAAAGACATTTTTCTTTATTACTTTACTGTGTATTACTTTGACAAGATTCTCTAAAGATTCTAGCTCTGGCCAGTGTGGCTCAGTTGGGCGTCGTCCCGTGCACTGAAAGGTTGCCAATTCAATTCCCCGACTGGGGACATACCCAGGTTTGGGGTTATGGGTTCAATCCCTGGTGGGGAGCATGCAGGAGGCAGCCATCAATGTTTCACTCTTATATCTCTGTTTCTCTCTCTCTCTCCCCTTCCTTTCTATCCAAAACAAGGAAGAGAGAGAGAGAGAAACATCAATAATGAGAGAAAATCATTGATCGGCTGCCTCTGGCATGCCTCCTACTGGGGATCGAGCCCACAACCGGGGCATGTGCCCTTGACCGGGAATCAAACCCGGAACCCTTCAGGCCACAGGCCGACCCTCTATCCACTGAGCCAAACCAGCCAGGGCCCTGTGTGTTTTTTTAATCTTTCATGAGATTTTTTCTCTATACCAGCATTCCTCAATCCTGACGCCATTGACATGGGGGCGGGACAGTTCTTGGTTGCGGCGGGGAGTGGAAGAAGGGATGTGTTTCTCTGTTCATTGTGGGAAGTTTAGCAGCATCTCTGGTTGCTGCCAGAAGCGCTCTACCCCTCTTCCCACACTCCCCACACCTCCTTCCCCCTCCCCCCTCTCTCCTACCTCCACCCCCAATTGTGACAACAGGAACTGTCTCTGGATATTCCCAGATGTCTCCCCTCAGGGGCAGAATTGCCTCCAGCCGAGAACCACCGTCTTAAAACGAAATTTTACAAAAGATTTCAAATGTTGTATCACAGCTACACTTGCTAGCCAGCTTGTTGACTCCCAGCGCAGGACTTTTGTATAAAACAAACAAACAAAATAATCAGGTGAGCTGTACTCCCAGCGCTGGCTGCCTCCCCGAGCGCCTGTCCATCTCTCTGCATCCGCAAATGGCCAGCCGCATTGATCCTCCCTCCGAAGGTTCCATTACCCGTTCACATTCTGACGCTGAGATGTTCGCTCGGGTCGCGTCTGCTGTGTCTAATGGTCTCGGGAACGTAAAAGCTTCCTGCCGGAGGCATTTCCCAGTATTGACCGTGCTCTCCGAGCAAACACACACACACACACACACACACACACACACACACGTGAGCACGGCCGGGGCTCCCGCTCCATCCTGAAGCTCCGGGGTCTCATCTCATCTAGGGTGGGAACCCCGCCAGGGGAGCACAGAGCCCTTGTTGTCAAAACACCAGAATGGCCAAGGCCGCTTTGAGAGCATGAGCCGAACCGAGGTGCCCAGGGCCAAGAGGCCGAGAGCCGGTGCAAGGACACAGGGCACACTGTGCCCTCTGTAACCCAAACGATTGATGTCACTGTTGGCAACCGGCCTTCTTTGTCTCTGGAGTGATACACGGGTTAGAGACCAGCTAGAGAGCAGCTGGGCAGAGCAGAGGCTCAGAGCTCAGAGAAGCGGAGGCTTAGGACAGGGAGGGGTGCAGCTCCTGTGTGAGCGGGAGAGGCAGAGAGCTCAGACGGAGCTGAGAGCTGGTACCGCGACGATGGAAACCAGGGGTCTAGGGGCAGCGTGCGGCTGCTCAGATAGTAACTGTGTGCAGAAACGGATGCTGCCTTACGGGAAAGATATGTATTCACCAGCCAGTGGCCGGCTGCCTGCCTGTATGGACTTCATTGTAAAGAATTGTCTTGTCTAGCCCGAGCCAGGTTGGCTCAGTGGATAGAGCATCGGCCTGCGGACCAAAGGGTCCCAGGTTCGATTCCGGTCAAGGACACATACCTTGGTTGTAGGCTCCTCCCCAGCCCGGGCCCTGGTTGGGGCTTGTGCAGGAGGCAACCAAAGGATTTGTTGCTCTCACATCGATGTTTCTCTCTGTCTTTCCCTCTTTCTCTTCCAGTTCCTCTAAAAATCACTGGGAAAATATCCTCGGGTGAGGATTAACAAAATAGTAATAATAATAAAACATCAATTAAAAAGATTAAAGCGTGCCGGCAAGCAGTGCATTGGCCTTTATTTGCAAGGCTGCTTTCAAACCCATAGATCTAAGTCCCTTTGGGGATGTGAATGTGGAGGTGTTGTCGTCGTTTCTTTTGCTATGTCCAGACGCGAGACCCTGTGGCCCGAGACCGACGGCAAGCCACGCCGTCCTTCTACGTGGATTTTGAAAGGTGATGTCAGGACTTTTGCTCGCTCGCTCCTGTTCAGAGCTGCTGGCTACGACGTCTTCTGCCCTCGGGGAGGAAATGTGGGGTTTTATTTTAAAACTGGATCCCCGGGTTAATTTACAGATTAAGCCGAGTGCACATTCCAAATCCATTCAGTGCCTCAGACCAGAAACACATCTGCTCCGGCTCACCCCGCCCCACCCGGCTCCTGACGGTGGCACAAGCCTGATCCCTGTGATTAAAGGGAAGGAGGCGCTGGTAGGATGTCAGGTGCAGGATATGAAAGGAGAGCAGGCACCCCTCTCCACGTCCGAGGACTTGGGGGGCTGTCGGGCCGGGCCTGGCTGAGCAGACACTGCGGAGAGTTGGGTCGGGGAGTGAGTCACGGTTTGGACGGGCTCCTGAGCGGCGGTTTGGGTGATGAGCACGCGGGGTCCGCAGCGTGCAGTGAAGCGAAGCAATTTCCCCTGCATCCATCTGTCCCGAGCACAGAATTCCAGCCGTAGAGCCGGCAAGGCCCGGGAGCCCACAACATTTGGCAATCATTTTCGAAGCCGGGGTGTGTCAGGTTTTCGAAACTGGGATGTGTCCAGATTGAGAATTCGCCTTACCTTTAATCAAAGCATGATGAAACCCTTTGTTTCCGGATAGCAACGCAGCCCAGGAATATCGTTTCCTCCTTTTCTTTCTTTTTTTTTATTAACATGTTTTTATTGATTTCAGAGCGGAAGGGAGAGGGAGAGAGAGATAGAAACATCAATGATGAGAGAGATTCATGGACCAGCTGCCTCCTGCACTCCCCCACCCCACCCCCACTGGGGATCGAGCCCACAACCCGGGCATGTGCCCTTGACCAGAATCGAACCCGGGACCCTTCCGTCTGCAGGTAGACGCTCTATCCACTGAGCCAAACCAGAGAATGATGAGAGAGATTCATTGACCGGCTGCCTCCTGTACTTCCCCCCCTCCCCACTGGGGATCGAGCCCACAACCCGGGCATGTGCCCTTGACCAGAATCGAACCCGGGACCCTTCCGTCTGCAGGTAGACGCTCTATCCACTGAGCCAAACCAGCGAGGGCACAGAACCCACATTTTAACATCATGGTCCAGGGGAGTTCAGACATCTCATTCTTTTTACACCCTGGTTGTTTTTAATAGGAAAAAAAATTGATGTCTTGTACGTGCCCTTGACCAAAATCGAACAAACAACCTTTCAGTCCACCAGTGATGCTCTAACCACTGAGCCACCGGCCAGGCACCGTGTGTATTTTATACACCAGGGTTCCCGCCAGAGCCCGGCAGCAGATTAAAAACAATAGCAGCTCTGGGATAACAAGCTAACTGTTTGTGAAGTGAATCAAGACAAGCAAAGATGCCCCAGCCCAGTGGTCGGCAAACTGCGGCTCGCGAGCCACATGCAGCTCTTTGGCCCCTTGAGTGTGGCTCTTCCACAAAATACCATGTGCGGGCGCGCATGTACAGTGCGATTGAAACTTCGTGGCCCATGCGCAGAAGTCGGTATTTTGTGGCAGAGCCACACTCAACGGGCCAAAGAGCCTCATGTGGCTC